ACCCAGAGGCAGGCGGAGGAAGGCCCACCCGGGCGCGTCCTGTGGGCCCGCCGGGGAGGGAGACTCGGAAGTGGGTCTCAGGCCGGGTGGGTCCCTGCTCCCCGCGGCCTCCATCAGTCCCCCCCACACAGCAGGGACCAGGCAGAGGAACAGGCCACGCTCCCGGGCGTGAGCTGCAGGAGAGTCACTCACACCCGTCTCCCCCTGGGCCACAGCTCGTTCACAGACTTCAGCTTTCAGAGGCACGGAAAGGATGTGGACTAACTCATTTTCATCTCAGAACGGTATTTGCAGAGTCCTGCTTGTCAGGCTCTGCTCCGTCCTCCGGACACTGGCCACTGAGCGCTCAGGACACAGAGAGAGTGCGCTCTCGGCGCCGCTCCCCCGGACCTGACAGGCCCCAAGGCTTCCGAAGTTCAGGCAGAGGTGGGGACTGCCCTTCAACCCCTAACCCTGGCTTGGGATAAGAGGAAGCGGGTACTGCGCAGAACCTGCAGTGCCAGCCAGCCCTGGACAAGGGGACACCCTGCGGTGTAAGGGGCAGGTGAGAAGGCTCCTGGAGGACGAGGCCTTAGACAGGCAGCTAGGACTCCCCAGACGGGTGGAGAGGTTAGATGGTGCCAAGACTGGAGGCACAGACGGAGCAAGCAGAGCGGGGACCCCTGCAGAGAGAGGCCTCCATAGACGGGAGGTTAAACCAGAGTGGCCGTGAGTCGCCCAACTCAGCCTCCTGGGGCCCCCACCCACCCAGGTCCCACTGGGCCAGGACAGGCCTCTCGCGTCCCCCCAGGTGGGGTCAACCGCAGCTACGCCGATTCCGCCGCGATCCGGGTTCGGCTTTAAAGTTTGTCCCCGGACAAACCCCTCTCTCTCTCTCCGCCTCTCCGTGGGAAGTGGGGCCATCCCCGGAAAAGGGTCTGAGGACAGAGGCGGGTTGCCTTCCTCCACTCCAGAAACAACAATAGGCGACCGGCCGAAACAGAAGGAGGGAATCAAGTGTGTAAAATCCCCCAGTCCCGCAACGTCAGTGCTGGGCACACGGCGGGCAGGCGGGCGGGCGGCCGCGGTGCTGCCCCCACGCGCCCCTCGGTGGAACTACAAGCCCGGGAGAGAGGGGCGCCGTAGATTGATCTCCTGGTTCTCGGACTCTGAGGGCGCACGGCAGCGAGGGAGGGAAAGCTTGCGTTTGGATTCTTAAAGCTATTTTAGGCTCAAAGGAAATTACATTTTATTCCTAAAGGCTGAATCGTCTCACTTCTTGCACTTCCCCAAAGCAGACGTACGGTGACTTGTTTTTATTTGGTCATCACATCCTACCATTAGCCATGTTCTTTCCCCTTTCTTCCACATTAAGCCAGAAATCATACATTTAAGACTTTATGAAGTGAATATTCAGAGGACAAAGAAAGTCACGGACAGGAGGGCGGCGACTGCTTTTCCCTGAACTCTGAAAATACTCAAGGCTGGGCGCTGCCTCCAGCAAACTATCAAGCCCTCCTTATACTCATACCCGATCTTAGAACGATGGGGAGTCTTGGCTACCAAGCTGACCAAGGTGGAGACAAAGGAAACAGGGTGAGGAGGCTCCACTGAGCGCCAGGCGCCTGGTGATGCTGTGCCCTCGCAAGAAACGCACACTGGCCTTTGGCGTGTCTGTTTCTGCCAGTTTGTCAGGGGATGACAGTGAAGGTTGATGAGGCTTAGGCTGGGGAGAGGGAAAGTCTGGATTCCATCCCTTCCCGAAAGTCCACTGAGTCACTGAAGCAACTTGACTCCACTCGTGGCTCCTCTGACTCAGCTCTGAGATGGAGAAACTCACCTACAGCCATGGGATCTCATAATGTGTGTGCAGCACTTAAAGGGGATAACTAAGTAAAATCCTATGGGCGTCTAGGAAGAGTTTCTTCCCCGCTAAGAGAAGTTCTATAAGTGCTTCTAAGCTAAATATGGGGTTCCCTATGACCATTCCGGCAGAAACAAAGCTGGATTAAACAGCTTCCCTGTTGTTTAATCACTAAGTCATGTCTGACTCTTTTTAACTCCATGCACTGTAGCCCGCCAGGCTCCTCTGTCCATAGGATTTCCCAGGCAAGAGTACTGGAGTGGGTTGCCATTTCCTTCTCTAGAGGATCTTCCTGACCTCATGTCTCCTGCTTGGCAGGCAGACTCTTTACCACTGAGCCACCAGGGAGGCCCCCAGCTTCCCTGGGGGAGCTGCTAATCCGTGGTCAGGCAGCTCTGGGCAGGGCGGCCACCCACTGGGGACCCTGTACTGGGACTCTCTACCCTCTCTGGGCCTCAGTTTCTCCATTGGAACAATCAGATTGTCACAAGATGAGACCACAAGCCAAGCACAGATGGTTTGGGTGGCCTCTCGGTAATAGTCCAGGTTTCTTGTGAATATTCTGGACCACGTTCCTATGTGGCATCAGAGATCATCACGAGGAGCTGAGGAGTGGTCCTTCCGGACCTCTCTCTGCGCCCCACTCCAGCCTTGGCCCCTGACCTCAGGAGCTGAGTGGAGGGTAGGAGTGAGTAAGGGCCAGACAGACCAGGATCAGAATCCCAGGACTGCTGACTTCACAAGAAAGGAGCTCAGCCAGGCCTGCGGGACATCTGGGGTCTCCACAGGGGACCCAGACACCCAGGGCTGAGGGGGCGGGGTACCTGAGGGGGAGGCTTTTGCTCAGGTTTTGTTCATCCTGCTCTCATAGATCAGGAAGAGAGACCACCGGCCACCCATGTGAACTTGGCCAACATCTTCACCTCTCAGACCTCAGTTTTCTCTTCTGTAAAATGTGCGTCATGGTCTTCTCTGCAGACTTGCTGATGGGATCAGAAATGACACATCTACAGTGACTGAATAAAGAGCAGTAGTACTGGATAAAGAGCAGCCTTAATCACTATTCACCACATGATAGAGTGTTGGCATCTGGGGAAGGACACTGTTGGGCTGACCCAGGGCAGCTCTGCCCTCCAGCTCTGGACTGCAGCCTCCAGGGTTGTGCAGGAAGACTCCTTGGGCCTCAGGCCAAAATGGGGTCACATGACTGCAGACAGGCAGGTGGCTCCAGGTTCACCACTGTGCTGGCCTCCACTCCTGGCAAGAATGAATCCTCGCTGGAGAAGTCTGACCAGTCCACCCATAGGGCTCCGGGACCAGATAGTTTTAAAGTAGCCACAGAGGGGGCAGGGATTTTGAGGCCCTAGGTCACACTGGGGACTGGCCACCCCACGACACTCCCAGTGGGCCCTAGGTCACCCTGTATTATATTCAGGGTACTGCATCAGAGTAGATGTGCCTTCAGCGCTTCTGAAAATAGCATGCTTATTTTCCCTCTTAGTCAGATTTTGGGGTGTCGGTGGTTGGTTTTCCAGTTCTCTGGGTTTGCTTCCAGAAAGGATTTCTGGTGTGATTTCATATTTTAATATTTCCAACAGTTTAGCTGAAATATAATTGACACAATAAACCCTCACAAGCCCTCTTCAGGACCCACATCACAGAAACCAGGGAAGGCCCTGGCAGAGGTTAATGCGGACATTTGAACCAGGCCTGACAGCAGGAATCGCTCTGAGCCACTGGACCTGAGTCCAGACCCTAGCGCCCGCCCTCAGCGAGGCAAGGGCAGAGATTCTCAGCAGGTCATTTCACAACCTGGCCCACTTCCTGTTCCATGGAGACGCCAGAGCCTCTGAGACCAGTCAGGACCAGGCTGTGTGGTTCCGGGGCAAGCGCAGGGTGTGTGGCTAGGGGCCCAAGCTGGAAGGCGTGGGGGCAGGCTGGGCTAACCGGGAGACAGGCCCGCGGTGGCGGTGGGGCACCACCACGGACAGGAAAGGCCCAGGGCCTCCAGAACCTCTGACCCATGGACCAAAGCCAGAAGTTGAAATGTTTTTGTGGACGCTCACAATTTTAAATATTGGCTCAACTTTTTATAACTTTCTCATTGAGATTATAATTAAACTAGGAGGAAAAAATGCACGTTGGCTTAAGAACGAAAGACTGCATAAGGCTGGCCCGAAGTCTTCCGCGGACACTTCAGCATCTCTCCGCGAGGGGCTCCGGGTCAAGGTCCCAAAGCCAGGGTGCTGGGGATAGAGGAGGAAGGTCGACTGCCGTCGTGAACCCCAGGCTCCCCGCCCCCCCACCTTCCCTTTTTCCTTTGCGACCCGCGCCCCGCCCCACCGCCCCCAGATCCCACCAAGTCCACCCAGCCCTCGACCCCTCGCGTCTGGCACTTCAGAGCGCCCGGCTTGCAAAGTCAAGGCGTTCCCTCCCGTGAAACGGGTAAGAGGGACCCAGTCCCCAAAGGAACCCGTCGCCGCGAGCCCCAGCCCCCCACCAGCACCCCCCACCCCACCCCAGAAGGGCCATCTGCGCCCGCTACACGTTTCTCTAGTCACTCCCCACGCCTCTGCGGACATCGACCAGTTCCCAGTCCTCGCTACCCGCCTCGGAGGGGCCTCGATAAAGCCAGAGACCCGCGTCCGAGCTCTGAGTCCGACCCTTGCAGCCCCGGGTATCTGGAGGCGGGGCCGAGGATCAACTCGGGCGGCGACGGCAAGAGGCGCGGCGGGGGCGGGCTGGGGGCGGGCCTGGGCGGGGCGGCGGCGGACTGCGGGGACGCGGCGGCGCGCGGGGCGGCGCAGAGCGTTCTGGCCGAGGCGCTGAGCGGAGCAGAGGGGCTGGCGTGGGGCGGGCGTGGGGCCGCAGGGGGCGCGAACCGAGGCAGGGCCGGAGCGGAGCCGGAGCCCAGCCGGGGTCGGGCCGGAGGGCGGGGGCCGGACGGAGAGCAGCCATGGCGCCGCGAAGGGCCAGGGCGCGCGCCGCTGTGGGCGGCCTGGGCGCCGAGTAGCCGGGCCGGGCCGGAGCGCGGGCGGCGGCGGCGGCGGCGGCAGAGCAGCTGCGCCCGCGCCCCCCGCCCTCCAGGCCCCGCGCCCCGCGCCCGGGCCGCTGGCGATGGTGACACATGCGGCGGCGGCGCGCCGGCGGCAGGACCATGGTTGAGCGCGCCAGCAAGTTCGTGCTGGTGGTGGCGGGCTCGGCGTGCTTCATGTTCATCCTCTACCAGTACGCGAGCCCGGGCTTGAGCCTGGGCGCGCCCGGCGGCCGCGCGCCGCCAGACGACCTGGATCTCTTCCCCACGCCCGACCCGCACTACGAGAAGAAGTACTACTTCCCGGTGCGCGAGCTGGAGCGCTCGCTGCACTTCGACATGAAGGGCGACGACGTAATCGTCTTCCTACACATCCAGAAAACGGGCGGCACTACCTTTGGCCGCCACCTCGTGCAGAACGTGCGCCTAGAGGTGCCCTGCGACTGCCGGCCAGGCCAGAAAAAGTGCACCTGCTACCGGCCCAACCGCCGCGAGACCTGGCTGTTCTCCCGTTTCTCCACGGGCTGGAGCTGTGGGCTGCACGCCGACTGGACCGAGCTCACTAACTGCGTGCCCGGCGTGCTGGACCGCCGCGACCCTGCCACGCTGCGCACGCCCAGGTGAGCGCCCACCGAAGGGCCGGGGCGGCGGGATGCCGGCTCGCGGCCGCTCCCCCGAGCCAGGCCCCCGCCGGGCGGTCCTGGGCCCGCCCTTCGCTCCCTGCCCTCCACTCCTGCCCTCGCCGGGCTGCCACTCGCTGCAGCCTTCTGGACCGCCTCCTTACCGCAGGGCGCACGAGTCCGCAGTCCGTCTGCCGCGGCCCGCTGTGGTCCCCGCGCTCGAATGTCCCCTCTCACCTCGTGCTCGGCACCTCTTTACTTTTCCCGATCAGCCGCCGGGCCGCGCAGCGTCTGGGCTTCCCGGGGTCACCGACCCCTGCCCACGGGTGGTCTCCTGTCATGCCTCAGCTCTGCGTCCAGGCTGGCCTGTGTCGTCGGGCGGGATAGCAGGTTTCTGTGCGCGTGTAGCCCACCTGGCTTCCCCTAGCGGCGCTCGCGCCGAAATCGAAAGTGAGAGGAGTGAGGGGCCTCTTACCCTGCACCTGCGGGGGGCCCGCCCCCCGGCCCGCCAGCCTGCCTTGAGAGGGCTGGGGAGGGGCTGCCAGGGAAGGGGGCTGGCTCTGCCTTGCCCAAGGGTGCAGGTAGAACAAAGGCCCGAGTGTCACCTGGGGCTGGAGGCGGGGAGGAAGCAGTGCTGCCCGCCCCGCCCCTGCGAGTTGGGCCCTAACTAGGGGCCAACTCGCTCTGAAAGAGGAGCAGAAGCAGGCTAAGGGCAGGCTGCGGGGAGCTGAGCTGGCTGGAGGCACCTGGGCACCCAGACACCTTCCCTGAGCGATTGGGGACACAGGGCTGTCCTGTAGCAGGGACAGCTTTCAGGGTAAGGACATTTTAGCCAGAAACACCCTCCCCCCACATGGTGCAGGGTTCCAAGTGTTAAAGTTGGGTCTGTTTTTCTCCGGTTTGTGTTCATGCCTTGTGGGGCCTTCTCCCTAGGACGTTTAGACTGGGAAGGGCCAGACGGGAGGCCTTCTTGCCTGCCTTTTGTTTATGTGCCTTAAGATTGTGTTAATGGGAGGGCTGGGCTTCGGGAGCTGTGTGAACTGAGTAGGTGTTTATCAGCATTCCTGGGTTGAAGGTGCAAGGTCTTGGGTGTGTTTGGAAGATGAAGGTTTGGTATCTGGCCAGCTCTGGATTCCCTGCTCGAGTCTTCGTCCTTCTGTAGTGTTTCCTAGACTGTCAGAGTTGGGGGGAAGGGAAGGGGTCTTCCCACTTTTCCTTGGCTGTCCGCACACCAACAGCAGCTCTCAGCTTGAGAATTGTCCTGCTGGGTCATTTAAAGCTATGTCAATTAACTGGGCAGCCTGTCTGGGGTCCTTAAAGCACTGATGCCTGCCCAGCACTTGGTCTGATCTGTAAAGGTGCACTTTCCTGGCCTTGCACCCCCTCCTTGCCCCCTTGCTGGACTCAGGGTCCAGCCACTCTGTGCTAGATTGAGGTGAGCACAGGGGCTTGCAGCTACCTGCCCACCCATCGCTCTGTTCACCAGGACCATCGGCCCCCAGAACTGGACACTGAGCAGCCCAAATAGGCCTGGGTAGGCACCTCTCACCCTGGAGAAGGGAATGGCTACTCACTCCAGTATTTTTGCCTGGACAGTTCCATGGACAGAAGAGCCTGGTGGACTATATTCTGTGAGGTCACAAAGAGTCGGACATGACTGAGCAATTAACACACACACACAGGCACCTCTCTGTCTGTAGCAGTGAGGGTGGGAGTCAGAAGGGTCCCATCTGCCAGAAGGAATTAGCTAGGGAGAGCCCTGGAGGGGATAGTGTGCTGGCCTCCCCTTGGGCCCTGTCAGGAGGCTTGAGTCAAGCTTGCCCAGCAGACGTATCCCTCGGCCCTAGTTTGCCGCCAGGACACTTTCCTATAGCCCCGTCTTCTGAGGCTGATGTTCTCTTTGGGTCATCAGGGGTGAAGGGCCCCAGGTCTCTCTTCTCCAGAGCCTGTCCACCAGAGAAACAGGCCCAGCCACCCCACAGACAGGAGTGGGGGAAGTGGAGAAGCCAACTAGAGTCTCCAGGTGCTGCAGGAGGGACGGATGCCCGGCGCCCCCTCCTCCAGGTGGACGTGAGGAGCAGGAATGGAAGACTCCATGCACAGTTGGCCTGCTGCCCGCCACACTGGGAAGTTGCTGAGCTCAGCAGCTTCCGGCCGCCGTGGAGGAGGGCTTTCCAGGGTCCGTGCGCCCGCCCTCTGCTGTCTGCTCTAGGAGTGGGCCGTGCCTCCAGGCCGGTGACGGAGCCTTGCCGGCATTCTTTGTCACTCTCTCCCACCTCTCCCTTCAGTTCTGGTCCAGGCGCTAGGTAGATGGCTTTCTTAAGAAGCTTCCTGGAGAAGCCAGGGTGATCTCTGCTTTGTGTGTTTACACGCCTGTGTGCTCCCCCAGTCTGGGGCTGGGCCAGAGTGCTCGGGGGTCAGGGTGCGGCTCCCTCATCTGCCCAGGGACCCAGCACCCAGAAGGGCGGTGGCAGTGCCCAGCCTTCCATGGGTGCCTTGGTGTTGACTGGTTCCTGGTTTCAGGAGGCTCAGCTGCCACCCTCACCTCCTTCCTGCCCTCCCAACAACCCTGTGCTTGGAATGACCACCTGACTAGTGGCCTGAGGAGTGACAGGGCACTTTGGGGTCTGGCCCTGGGCAAGAGCCCTTTTTTCCTCCTCTAGTCCCTAGAGCCAAGCACTTTGCAAAGGGCCTGGTGGGGGGGTTAGGGACAGGGTGGAGGGTGGCCAGAGGTCTCATTGCTGTGAGGTGTGCTTCTAGAAGCTCTCCCCGAGCCTCTCCCAGTTCCTGGTGCCAGGGCCTGCAGTGCTTTGGGGCCTGTGGTGCAGGGAAGTGAGGGGTTTCACGGCTCCCATGCCTCCTTGCCTGGGTGCCTCTGAGCCGGACATGCGTCGAGGTGACAAATGGAGATGGATGGGATTCCAGCACTTCGCTGGAGTATGGTTTGGCACGTCCAGCATCTGTGAGTGCTTCCTGACCTGGCAGAGAGGGACAGGTGTGGGTACAAAGCATTGGCAGCTCCCTCTTTGGTCTTGTGTCCATGGTGGGAGCTGCCACACCTGCTGGCATCTGCCAGGAAAGTTTGTAAGGCCCCCCAGGGAGGACTGGCCTCAGAGGGGTGTGGCTGTCCATGGCAGCAGGCTGGTGGCTAAGCGCTGCTAAAGCCCACTTCGGTTAGAGCGTCTCAGCATCCCTGGCTCCCATGTCGCCTTGTAGGGTCAGGACGGTGCTCCTAAGGGCCAGAGTGACCCCAGGTCCTCTTCCAGAGAAGGTGGAAGAGGAGCCACGGTCAGGATCCGCCTGAGTAGCCCTGGACATGTCCCTAAAATTGGGTAGGGTTCATTTGGAGCCACACAGGGCATTTGGGACCCAAGTGTGGCTTCTGGGCCACCTTCACAGGGTCCTTTCTGCAGTAGGATGCCCCCCCACCCCGGGAGCCCCTGGTTGAGCTCCCCCCACCCTCAATGCTCCCCAGCAGTGCTGTGCTTCCGGGCAGGAAGGAGGCGTCTCGGTGTCAGTGCCGCAGCCTTGCTGTACCCGCTCACACTGCCTCCACCGTCCCAGAGTCCTCTCTGGGTTCAGAGATCTGCTGGTGCTGCAGCTGAATCTGCTGCCTTCTGCCCAGCACACCCTCCTTGCTGCCACTGTTCTGCTGGCTCCGCCTCCCCCTCCAGCCTCAGTTCTGCTGCCCCTTCCTCCAAGAAGCCTTCCCTGGCTGCGCCGTTGTTGCCTTAGGTGCCCTTGGCCACTCTCCATCTGCCATCCTGGCATGTCCATGGCATTTTGACACCGGCCAGAGGCCAGATCGGTGCTGCCCAATCTGACAAAAAGAAAGTTCACCGCCTGGTCCTGCAGCCTCTCCGTGTGCTGCACTCAGCCTGCCCTTCCCCCATGTGTCCTCTGGTGAATCAGGTTCAAGGAGTCAGCCTTGAGTGTACGGCTGTTCCCGGAGAACCTCTGGCCCCAAACAGGCTAGCTGGGGGCATTTCTATGGCACCTGACAGTCCGCAGCTTGCCTTCGCAATCATAGTCTTAGTGCACTCAAACAACAAAGTCTGCATCTGCCTGCAGGGAGGCAGGTGTCATCCAGAGCACGTGGCAGGGACTGGTGAGCAGGGCCTGGCCCCCCAAGGGAATCACCCAGACTGGTCTTGGGTTGAGACAAAAGGAATCTAAGGTCAAGAAACTCAGAGCTAGATTTTCCTCGGATAAAAAAGAAACCTCTTCTTTTTAAGCAAATGTGTAAGACAAACTTTTAAATGACTTTCTGGCAATCATTTTAAATAGTGCCTGGCTTGCGAAGTCATCAGGCTCTGCAACTCCTATTGTCACTGAAGCCCCATAGAGCATGTAGGACCAGGGTTTTCTGTTCTCCCAGCTACTTCCCTTACAAAATCCTGAGCAGTGCAGAGTGGGCTGGGCACAGGGTGGGGGCCTTATTTGCCCCCCGGTCAGAGAACCACCCCAGTGGACACAGCCCTGGGGCCCCGGCACTGGTGGAGCCCTGGTCTTTGTGCAGTCAGGGTTTCTTTCTCGGTGCAGGACTGAGAGGTTTGCTGTTGCCCTTGGAGAGTCGCAGGCCATCAGTTGGAGCCTGGTCTCGCCGTCCTTAGCTTCTCTGTTGGCTCAGACAGTAAAAAGTCTGCCTGCAATGCAGGAGGCCCTACGTCAGGAAGATGCCCTGGACAAGGAACTGGCGACCCACTCCAGTGTTCTTGCCTGGAAAGTCCCACATTCTCTCATTTTTTTGTTCTGTTTATAAAGTAATGATTATGGTAGACAATCAAGAGGAAAGTATAAAAAGGGAAAATGACTATCATCTATGCACGTGTGTGTGCTGTCATGTCCGACTCTTTGTGACCCCATGGACTATAGCCTGCCAGGCTCCTCTGCCCATGTAACATTCCAGGCAAGAATACTGGAGTGAGTTGCCATTCACTTCTCCAGGAGATCTTTCTAACCCAGGGATTATAGCTGCAGTCTCCTGCTTGTCAGGCTGA